GATTCTTTAGATGTTAGTGGATAGACAAGTAAACAGAGCCCTGGTTGATTCTTTAGATGTTAGTGGATAGACAAGTAAACAGAGCCCTGGTTGATTCTTTAGATGTTAGTGGATAGACAAGTAAACAGAGCCACGGTTGATTCTTTAGATGTTAGCAAAAAAAAGATGCTTTAATGTGTTATTGTCATCTGCTGGTTCAAGTGATTATCACATTGTGTTGTTTTTATTGTATGTACTTGAACATTTTTAGATCAACCTCCAAGTCTTGAAGACAAACAAGAAAACTAAAGAATATACTTTTTATAAAAATACAATTTCTCCTTTATACAGCTTATGGAGTGATTATTTTACTTTAAATAACTAATGAATGTTAGATTTAAAAAACAACATTTGTTGACATATACTTGAACTTAGAAGAGACCCAACATTCAAATGTCATGTTTCTATTGATTAATAAGAGTTGGATATAGGATAACAACTAAATCTTCTAATATAAAAGGAGCTTTATGCTTTAGGTTTTCTACATGGCAGCCATATTCTCACATAGTTGTCATTAAAGTGTAGGTTTGATATATGATAACAACTAAATCTTCTAATATAAAAGGAGCTTTATGCTTCAGGAACTCTTCCGAGTCAGAAAAACTAATTTGTTCTTTGTTCCTCTTGTTTAGCTTCCAAGGATGGCCTGGAACACAGGCCAGAAGAAGGGATGAGACACCCTAGTTCTAGACATGAATCTGATCAGGAAAAAGAGCATCAGAAGACTGCTTCCGATTATTCCCTACGCTTCTGTGGCCATTGTAATACAACTACTGACATCAAAGAGGCTAATTTCTTTGGCAGGTAACAGACAAGTCATAAGATTTTAATTGTTTGTTTCTAAACTAAAACAAAAGACATATAATCAATTAGTTCAATATGTAAAGAAATAAACAATTATATTACACAGTGATAAATCAGATAATTAGATAATGAATGTGATTTCTTGAAACAATGTCAATGAAATTTAAATTGGCACAAATAAACCTTAAGATTGATTAGATGGAAGTGTGCAGTGGCTGAGTGGTTAAACTGTGGCTTCTGAACCTGGAGACCCGGGTTTGGACATCTGAAGACAGGAATTTTGTATTTTGGGATTTTATGGAACCTGGAGACCTGGGTTTGAACATCTTAAGACAGGAATTTTGTATTTTGGGATTTTATGGCTCCCCTGAGTCCATCCAGCTCTAATGGGTACCTGACTTAAGTTGGGAAAGTAAAGGCAGTTAGTCGTTGTGCTGGCCAAAGAAACAAAACCTTAACATCATCTGCCCTATAGATCACAAGGTCTAAAAGGGAACTTTACTTTTTTTTTCTATTTATGATTTCTCTAAGAAAAATCAAAATTTAAAAAGATAACTTGGGATTTGTGCATCAAAAATACATTTTAAATTAATTTCCTTTTAATTAAATATAAAATTAAAACTATCTAAGAAACCTCATTGCACATTACTTAGCTTATAGCTAGAGAAACCAAGTTTTTATCATTCATATCATTTAATAATACATTTTTTTCTTCTATCAAAAATGTTCTTTTATATATTGAATATTAGCAGTCAAATGCAGAAAAAAAGCCTACCATCACTATTTCTTCCTATCGCTGATATACTAAAACACTTTCTCTGTTTGAAGCAATGGACAGTACATCGTGGCAGGATCTGACGATGGCTCCTTCTTTATATGGGACAAACTAACCACTAACATCATGAGGGTCATGAGAGGAGATGAGTCCATAGTCAACTGTCTGCAGCCCCACCCCAGCACCTGTCTCTTGGCTACCAGTGGCATTGACCCAGTGGTCAGGTTATGGAGCCCTAGGCCAGAAGTAAGCTTCAATTGCTAAAAAAATGTTACATTTTTCAATTGCTAATAAAATGTTATGCCTTGTTTCTTCTGTTAGTGACATTTGATTATTTTCTTCTACTAATCACATTTGACTATTTACAGGATGGCACTGAAAACGACAGAGAAGTGAACAACAGTGATGATGCAGCACTAGCCAATCAGAAGCGCATGAATGCCGATCCGTTGGAGGTCATGCTGATGAACATGGGTTACAGGATCACAGGATTCTTGGATGTAGACGAGGATGAAGGCAACCCGCCTGACGGACCGGCCAATTGTCGTACAACATAAAGTATGGCGAAGCTTGCATTCTTTACTTGTAGCCTATGTTGTGATATGTATGAGTGCTGTTTGTTGGCTGTATTGGAAGTGAGTGCTGTCCTGTTGGAAGAGGGGGAAATTTTCTGTCTTTTCCTCTGAGTATTTTCTTGATTTCTGTGTCCTGGCTAGTCACTAAAGAATTAAATGCACAAACTTGGAAAAAAAATTTTGTTTTAAATTATTAAGACCGGTTGCACTTTATGGATGGAGTAAATATCAAAATGTTTGGCTTGATCCCCTTACAATTACCTGACATTGTTTTGTCATCTGTGATTAATGCTTAGTGGTAGCTTTTTAAGTTGAGGTGCTTCAAGGATAATCAGAGTAAGACTGCAGACATTTAGTTTTCAATGAGCAAAAATAATAGTCACATTTTTTTTAATAGTAATAATAGATTAGTAATATAGATTGTGTTAAAAGGATCATTGATATTTTTGTTCTTGGAAATTAGAACGACTGATTTAGAGGTGAGCCACTGCAGCCCTGGAGCTGTATTTAAATCAGATATTTTGTCATCATTACCATAACCCTTTTTTTTTTTCCTCTCCACATTTGTAATGTAAAAGTTGGGCACAACCTTTGTTTTGCTTTGTTACTGCCCTTGTTCTTGCACATAGTTAAATCTGGATCACTTCTGCTGGGAACTTAATAGTTCAAGAAAATACTTTATTACATTAGCATGTAGACCTAGTGATAAGTATTAGAGGTATGCAGAGGAAGCTGGTTTGATTTAAACAGCTTTTTTTTTTTAATGTTCTTAATCTGATGCCATTCATTTTTCTTGGATATCTGGTTTGATTCAAAGTACTTTGAGAATCAAGTCATCTGATTGATAGAAGTCAATGGAATTTCAAATTAGTTTTGCGTACTATCAAACATAATAACTGGATAGAGTAAATTGTGATTTATTTTTCAAGCATGACAAATAATTTATTATTAATTATTTATTAACTTAAGCCAGAGACATAAGATTAATGATAGTCTCCTCTCAAAAGTTTAATTCAAGTTTCAATTTCTCTAGATAATTTTCAAACATAAATTTCACTTCATTTTTATCTTGTAAATTAAAGACGTTCCTTCTTAACACAATTCTATCTTATGTAACGTTGGACTTTGATTTTTTTTAGCTTTAAGTTTTGACTGAAAAATTAATGATTTTACTGGACTGTTGCATTGAATGAGAATTGACTATGGATTGAATTGGACTGTTAGGATACGACTGCCTTGTAACAGAGTGTGTGTAACATGCTTTACTGGTTGCTTTAATTTCTTGAACAAACAAGAGTGAGTGTGTGTGTGTATAGTATCTAGTTTGAACTTTGATGTTAAGAGAAGAAACTTTGGAGGTGTGTTTATTTCTTTTAGTATCAAGATTGAATATTATCTGATATGTATTAATTGCAGTATCTTGTATTTGTCTTTATGATAAGTAGCTATCAGCAATGATGGGAGGCTGGGATAAGTAGCTCTCAGCAATGATGGGGGGCTGGGATAAGTAGCTCTCAGCAATGATGGGATAAGTAGCTCTCAGCAATGATGGGATAAGTAGCTCTCAGCAATTATGGGATAAGTAGCTCTCAGCAATTATGGGATAAGTAGCTCTCTGCAATGATGGGATACTGGGATAAGTAGCTCTCAGCAATGATGGGATAAGTAGCTTTCAGCAATGATGGGATAAGTAGCTCTCTGCAATGAAGGGATGCTGGGATAAGTGGCTCTCTTCAATTAAGGGATGCTGGGATAAGTAGCCCTCAGTAATGATCGGATACTGGGATAAGTAGTTCTCAGCAATGATGAGATGCTGGGATAAGTAGTTCTCAGCAATGATGAGATGCTGGGATAAGTAGCTCTCAGCAATGAAAGGATGCTGGGTTTATTTCATTGAAATCGTCCTAATTACAGGTAGGGTACCATCTCAAGCTTTGTTCAAATGCCTTTCTTTTAGTATTAATTATAGACTACTTTGTCCTTGTGTCTATTTTTCTTTTTTATTTGGCTGTGACCCATGTGTACATAATTTGTATAAATTGGTTGGACAAGCACTGGTTACATTCAAACCAGAAATCAGGTCATGTGTTTCACATTGTGTGCCTGCTCTTCAGTTGGTTGCGTTTAAATTTGTGGCTATCCTTAAAAGAGAAGAATCTGTGATACACGATCAAACCAAACATTGTATTTCCCAATAACAACTTGTAGCTTACATTTGAACAGCGTAGTGGAATGCAATGGTTCTGTACATAGCTGTTCTAATCCCAGAATTAAATCTTCATTTTGTAAATACTATTCTTCCATCAGACAATGGAAAAAAACCTGTTTTGACAATTAAATTCTCGTGTCGCTAGTTGATTGACCTCTATTGAATTGTTTGTGAGGTTGATTTGAGTTTTGAAGTTTCTGCCAGTGTAAACTATTTGAACCCCAAAAAAAATGTTTGTACCATTTTTTTTTTCTTGAACCTATCAAATGTCAGAGCACTTCTTAGGATATTTCTGTGACTTAACTTTATTTTGATGATTCAGATGTACTGTATGCACTAACTGGCCAGTGAAATGTTTTGTTAAAAAGGCTAGAATTTCTGCATTCCTTCAGTGTTAGTATAAAATTAAATGAAGAATCATTACATTGAATAAAAGCTAAGGGTTATTAAACCAATCATGACTTATGTTGCATAATACTGACCATAGCAGTTTTCTAGGGGGGGGGGGGGGGGGGGGCGGCAAGTTTTAGCTATTGCAGACAGCACAAGATGGAAGTGTTTACACAAAACAGACAATAACCAGGAAAACCATAAATAACAAACTAAATGTTTCTCTAGTCATAAGTATTAAAATTGAATAAGTTATCATTAATGAAAAAACTATATCAAAACAAATTATGGCTGTAGGGTAATGATAAGCAAGAAATAGAATCCTTAGAACCATCTAGAAACATAAGTCAAAATCTACATAGAAATTAGAATGCGATCTAATCTTACTTGATGGAATATAAAAGCATGCATACAAACATATTGGTTCACAAAAAAACCTTTAAAATAAAAAAAAGAAGCTTATACTTAGTGTAGTTATATCAATTAGAAATCTGTGCCATTAGAAAATATTTTTACCAATTGTTTTTGTTTATCAGTGTTTCATGCTTTTTACCTTTTGATCCTATCACGTATCTGGACCAGTTGGGGGCAGGGGGGGGGGGGGGGGGGGGGAAAGAAAGCTGACATTCTTACCACTCTGCTAGGGAGGTGTGCATGAAAATTGAAGATAGTGTTTTAGTTATCCATGGTTTGTTTCAAACATACTTTAAAAGTGGCTTAATACCACCACCTCAGTCAAATACAATCTTTCCCTTGTTCCAATTGTACCAAACACAATAATATTACCAATAGTTAATTAACTAATTGGATAATATTTTTTTTTGTTTTTAATTCTTGTGTTGTCAGGTAAAAGAAATAATTGTGCAAAATTTCTGCTTGACTTGAGACTAGGGAGAGAAATAACATGTACAAACTTTTGACCAGACAGAGTGAGTTGATATAAGCTTTGTAAAAAAAGTAGCAGATGTGACAGACACTTAAACTTACACAAAGACAAAGGTAACATTGTATGCCCATTATACTATGGTCTTGTTTTAGGGGAAAAAATAAAGAACATTTACTAAAACTGTTAACAAAACTCAATAGTTTTCATGGCTTGAAACAAACAAAACCTGACATGGTGTAAGAGCTATGATTAGCTAATAATAATTTAAAAAAAAATTATCGTAATGATTTGTTTGTATTGAAGCCACTGAGATTGTAGTGATATTTTTTTTTAGAGGAACTTGATTGCTTGCTTTCATTGGCTGAACATCATGTATCTATCCATATACTGTTTTGTTGTGTTAGAATGAAAAATAAAAATTGTATTGTACTTAACTTGTAGAAATAAACTTTGTACACCATTGATTGTCAGAAACTCGAGCTTCATTTTATAATACTGATAGTAATGTACATACAATTATTTGACTTAGTATCTGAATGATTCAATTTGATATGCTGTCAGATAAAGAGGCAAACAAACTTTTACGCTTCATGGGTTTATTTGTAAATATGAAAACAGCACAAGATGGAAGTGTTTACACAAAACAGACAATAACCAGGAAAACCATAAATAACAAACTAAATGTTTCTCTAGTCATATGAAGTATTAAAATTGAATGAAATAACATCATTAATAAGAAAACTATATCAAAACAAATGATGGCTGTAGGGTAATAATAAGCAAGAAATAAAATCCTTAGAACCAACTAGAAACACAAGTCAAAATCTAGATAGAACTTAGAGTGAGATCTAAATTTAACTTTATGGAATATAAAAGCAGTTCCAGTTTTACTTCTTGGGATCTCATGACTTCTGAGTAATTAGGTGTTGGAAAAAAAAAAAGCAGGTTGCAACTGGGTTTGTGTGGTCATGTGAAATACTGCACTTGTCTAGAATCAAAGACAATGCCCATACGGGGGATCTAAACCCTTTTTTAAAGTCAGCACCCAATACTTTACAATATAGCCTCAGACCAGCTTTGTGAAGCTTGCATAACTTCTCTAGAATATTTCTTTACTTTTTGTGTAAGGACATTTTCCTTTTTAACATTATATAAAAAAATTTGAGTAAATCCTATCATAAGAAAATATTTTGTTACCACTGAAATAAAAAAACAGTTCTAAGGTATCAATCACTCAGATGCAACAAAAGACATCAGCCAATTAGTGTAAACCAAAAACCTAATCAATGAAATTTCTAGGACTTGAGTCAGCCACAGGGCCTCAACCAGCAAGAACTTTGGCCACTTTCTTCTGAGACAGGTTGATCTTGTCACCCATACTTAATGCCATGCCCTGTTAGAAAATGCAAGCAGCTTTCATCCAAGTGTAAATTAAAGTGGTCTATACAACTGAAACAGCAACTAATGACATCACATTAAGAGTGTCATGTGAATAACAATAAAATATACTCTAGACAATCAGTCCTACCCATGACAAAGAGCCATCTTTGAGTTTTGTTAATTTGGGAATAGGAAGGAATGTAGCTAGAACTAAAGTAGTTGTGAAAATAGAAACATCTAAAAGTTTTGACATCATTTTGTGTTTGAAATGTGAACTCCTTTTTTTTTTTAAGTTAAATAAAATACAAGTTGTAATATTTGGCTTATAGCATGAAACAGACACATGATATAGTAGCTGTTCCAGTTGTATTAAAAAAAAAATTTTTAAATGGCGAGTAACATAAGGAAGACCATGTAAAATTCACTTGTTTTGGGGGCTGTGTTAAGAATGACCAACTACTTTTTTCCTTAAACAAATGTCAAGTATTCAATTCATGTTATTGAGTAGACTGTGTAACATTCTAAATTCTTTGTACTAACTTCGGCAGCTTCGTTTAGTTTGCAATCAGCATTGAGATCACTTGTGTTATCTTTCACAGAATCTAACTCAAGTGTTAATGAAATATTCTTTGTGTCACAATAGCTTTCAACATAATGAAAGGTTAGACTTTCCCTTCTAAATCAATCGTGTGAATCAAAACACAGCTGTTTTATTTGCATCATGGTCTACAGAGTATCAACACCTACCTGACTTTTAGCTCGAATGCGTACATGACCCTGGACAGAAGAATCTTTGCCCAAGTGTAATGGTTTCTCAATGCTCAGGTTAGCCAGGACATCTTCACCAAAGATGGAGCGGGCATACATGTTGGCTGCCATAAAACCACAGTCACCAGACAGAGCCTGGAAATAAATGAAATCTTAGATCTCACATGATATCAGCTTGTACAGCCATTCAATACCAAGTGTAACAATCTCATAGAAACACCACCACGCAGAGCCCATGTAAGTCAAGTGTATAAATCAAGCTACATATATCCACTGGCTAGAACTAGTTTTTTAGTTTTTGAAAATCTTGTCAGTTTATTGTTTTCAAATAGATGAAGCCATAACTTATACATAAACACATACCTAAATTGTATTCCCAATAGGGACCATAAACTGACCCTAGAGAGACCAGTGGTATTATTAAAAGATTTAGTAATTAAGATTTTTTGTCAACTTAATTTTATTAACAACAAGGGAAAGTTACAGCTTATGAGTAACCATTGCACCTATTTTTAGCCAATGAAGACAGTATTTAAATTAGATCTTTGAAGCACATTCTGTTATTGAGATGATAACACCACATGTAACATGAACTGCCTTTTTCAACTTTACTTTACTTAAAAAATTTATTTATACAAATGTGTATTCAACATGTACACTGTATAAAAAAAAAAAGGAAGTCCATAAGAGTGAGACCAGGAGTAGCGGTTGTATTAATTTCAAGCACAAAGGTGATGGTGAAATCAGATTTTAAATAACGCTCTTAGTTTTTGAAATCTAAACATGACAGGCAGAAAGCACAATCACAATAGTAGCTTTTCCCCATGTGAGAAATTTATGCGGTAGATTTTGTCTAGAGTAAAACACATTCCAACTTGTCAGATATCAGTCACAATAAAGTTATAAATAATGTAATTTTATAAGAAAACAAAAAAAGTTTTTTTATCATCATAAATAGTAAAAGTTATAAATTTCTTATGTATGGAAGTGATCATTTTAGAATGTCTCTCAACATATTTGTTGGCTTTGAAAACAATGTTTAAATGATATCAATGATTACATTCATTAAAGCTAATAATACATACAAAACTAGATTTTTTTTTTTTGCTTTCTCAAATTTACACATTGTCAAGAATACACTACAAAAATTATATAGCAATGTTGTTGACTTAGTTGCAGAATTGGAAAGTGACATGTATTTCTGCTGCCCTTTTTGTGAAATAAACTTTATTATTTAAAAGTAGGACAGTCTAATATGCAGTGGTAGATTTAAGCCAATCATCATTTTTTCCCAACGAAAATAAAAATAAATCTTTTGTTAAAGATCAAATAAAAAGGTACCAGGGGAAAAAAATGCATCTACTGAGTTCAACCAATGGGAAATGATTAAATGTGGTGAATGTGAAAATTTGGAATGAAATGAAAACTTTACAAGTCAAATAATATTCTATCAAATTCCAACAAACTACAGGTCATGGTTATTGCATCATGCAGAAGGAATGCTGTCGCCAGTAACTACATGATGGCAAAGAAAATGTATTTTAATTGCATTGATCAGGTGAGACAGTATTATGAAGTACCTGTGATCTGATTAACAAATGTGGATTGAATTCTGACTCATCTACCTACAAGATAATGGACAATCAAAAGAGTTATTGCCCTGAGATTAATGTCTACAAATGTCCTAGAAAGCAACCTAGCACTTAGATGAAATCTGAACTTTCTATAAACCTTGGACACAATCTGTATTCAAACCATGCAAATCAATTTTTTTACAGTAATATCCTGAATGTGAAAATGCCAAGTACTAGTATAGAAGCTGCCAAATTGATTTCTACATTTGAGCAAAATGAAGGAATCAGTTTTTGTTCGATTGGTAATATAGATTTAGTAAATCATTTCTTCAATCATAAAAGATTCTTCAATCATAAGAGATTCAAAATGAAAGAGTTAAAGTGCATCCCACTCCAATTTGATCATAATTCAATACCTAAATTGTGAAAATTTTAACTTTAATTGCTGAATTTTATAACTGTTTTCACCAGTTTCAAGTTAGCTTAGATTAAATCAATATGTTCCCTTGAGCATTAAGTCACAGCTATGACAAAGATACTTCTAAAGATACAGAGTAGATGATTATCTTAAACTGTTTTATTTTTTTTTTTATATTATAAAATTAGAAAAAAGGTGAAGTGAACTCTGACCTTCTCTGGAGTTAAACACTTCATGTTGGTACAAGACATGACATGTTCCAGATACTCTTTCAGGTCCAAGATGTTGGTGTTCACTGTCACTTTGTTCTCCCACTCAAACTCTGCCCACATCTGGCGGAACTCTGTGTCAGTGCAGGAGGCTGGCACGATGTAGTCCATAATGTCAATGTGTATGTCATTCAACACAACTACATTGCGGTCACTTTGAGCTCCAGTCACATCATAAACTAGACAAAATAAAATGATAACATGATACAAGCTGATCACAGCAGTACTCAGAGGCGTAACTAGGGTGGGGAGAAGAAGGGGGAGAATTAGACCCAAACCAGGCCCCCACTTGAGAAGGCTCC